CCAAGCCTGTCGACGGCGCCAAGTACGAGTTTGTCAAGTGCGATGTCTCGAGCATGCGCAACGTCGGCATCGTCACGCGTGACCTCGCCTCGCGCTTGGACAAGATCAACTATCTCGTCCTTTCGACGGGCCTCCTGTCTCTCGCGGGTCGCAGACCGACAGAGGATGGCGTCGATTACAAGGTGTGTTTGTCGGCGAGTCGACTGCGAGTAAGCTGAAGTACTCGCAGATCGCCGTTCACTACTATTCGCGCTTCAAGTTTGCCCACGACCTCGCACCGCTGCTTGAGAAGGCGTCTACTGCAGGAGAGCCCACACGCGTCCTTACTATCCTCGACTCGTTCATGGGAGCCCCATCCGGCGTGCGCCCTGACGACATGACGCTCGAGAAGAACTATAGCCTGCAGAACGCGGCACTCGTCGCGACTACCTACAACGACGGTGCAATTGCCGTGAGTACTATATCTCTACGATGTACCAGTAGTCGCTAAAGGCAACTAGGCGCTCGCGAAACGGTATCCAACGGTTTCATTCTCGCATGCAAACCCAGGCATCGTCAACACCAACGCCCACAGGGACATGCCCTTTGGAATTAAGCAACTAACCGGTCTCGTCGCAACTCTCATCAGCTCCCCGATCACCACATGCGGCGAGAACATGGTGTATACCCTTTTTGACCCGTCGATCCCCACCGGTGCGCACTACCGCACACCAAAGGGCGAGGACGTCAAGGGCAAGCCAAACCTGTCGGACGCCGATATCGAGAAGATCTGGCAGCACTCGATAGAGATATGCGACGGCAAGTAGTCGGCTCGAATAGACGTCTCCCTTAAAGTTCCTATCAGCACGGCGTCGCGTCCCAGTCGCGCACTACTTAGCTGTGCCGCCGCAAATTCGCAGTTATGCGTTCATCAAGCACAGTATTCTCACGGCCTCGTAGCTTAAGGACATAGTCACGGCAAATGGGGTGATTTGGACAAGTTGCGGAAGTAGCCGCTGAAAGTCGTTCAAATGGGCTGGAGGGCATCAACTTCCATGAAGTTCAAGGTTGGCTCTCCATCACTTCATAGAGCTTCACTAGCAAACTCTGTGGATTCTGTGGCGTTAGCAGACGTGATTATAGTGGTTGTAAGGGCAGAAGTCCCAAGTAGTAGTAGTAGTAGTAGTAGTAGTAGTAGTAGTAGTAGAGGGTTATGCGCGGCGCCACCTTGCGGTTTGCCGGCAGCCAAAGCTGGTACCCAGCCCTTCGCGACCGCATAGTGGATTGTGCAGTCATAGACGTGATCCGATGTTCCACGCATATAGCTGGATTAAACTGTTCACACGCCCTGACCCACCACCATGTTTAGTTCACGGTTCTCCTGCGTACATGCAAGCTCTCTGCATGAGAGCTAACGGCCGGGTTCCTCCCTGCGCACTAGACGGCGATCGATCGACCATAGTACGGCCCTCGGCGATCCCGGGGGATAGTCTCTCGACTATGGAAAGACAGACTGATCAGCCTCGGGGATCAGCCTCGGTGATGCCGCAGCACGCTTCGGCCGAGCAATCCCGCCGAGCGCCGCACGCATTTGCCCGTTAGCTGGGATGACAGTGACCAAAGAGCATCGCATCTATTCTGAAAAACTAGGCTGAGATGAGCGGACCGAGGCAAGATCTGAGAGAAGAGGAATAGGTAGTGTGGTACAGTAAGCTCGACGCATGCAATTGGGACGATGGCAGACGGCGACAGCGAAAGAGCATCTGTGGAGGGAGAGGTGTAGGTAGGTAGGTAGGTTAGTCGATACACGGCAAAAGGACCTATACAGATGCGTCGCGCAACAAACCGTAGGACCCAATTCCCAGAAGCCCCTCATTCTGCGGGTTTCTTGTGTCCTGGCGGCAGAGCGAAGCCATCTCATCCCACGGCAGTACACTATATAGCGGCGCACTCACCATCGAAGGGTTGGATGATGGCTGGTAAAACAGAAACCCCTTAAAAACTCTTTGTGTCCCGCGCTAGTCCCCCGTTGCAGCACTCCACTCCCAGCCAATCATGCGATGCTGTACAGTGTGAGACGAGGTTAGATAGAGGCACGATACCGACAGGGGTCGACTCCCCTCGCCATCCTGAAGGAGAGTATCTGCACCACGTTGCGGCTGATCATTGTCACTGTCCAGCAGCGCAACTAAGAAGATTTTAACATCTACCCGTGAGGGGGAGAGAACTCGGCCAGTACAAAATTGCAGTACGCAGCGAGAGGCTCGGTCGTTGATTCAATGGATAAGAGTGCATAGAAGAGGTCTTCCGGAGCGAAGGCACGCAGGGATGCTAAATCGAGTCGGCGGGAGATTTTTCGATATAGATGTCCACAACTAGCGACGGCGCACAAGTAAGGTGTCTGATGCTGTACAGTCAAACAGTGAGTGAATATGTTCCTCGGTGACTGTGCCTCGGCATAGTCTGCAAAGGCCGAACTCCCGTGGGATATCGCTGTCTCTACCATCGTGACGGTGTAGGACTTGAATCGAAAGCGAGTGATCTGACACCAGGATCTTCATCAGAATGCGACGGAGCTCGAGCGCAGCCAACTTCAGGTATGCACGGAAAGTGATGGGCGCTGTTTAACTTTTTCGGTGGGCGTTGCGCGGCGTAATCCTTGCGCTCCTTAAGGAGTTCGAGTTTCTCTAACGAGGCTATCTCTTTTCCCACCAGGGCGTGAACGCGTCCCGTCGGAGCGCCAAGGAGGAGGGAAGTGATTTCCTCTGTATTCAGTATTGGGCGCGTCGGACAAGGTGATGTCCATTCTCAGGAGTGAATCCTGACTGTGGAGTTGTCGCGGGCAGAAACGGGCGCGCTGGTTCCGTGGAAAGACATTGTCGTAAGGCCTTGTGAGCGAGGTGCCAGTGCGAAGGCGGGAGCTGTAGGACATCCAGCAGGTAACGCAGTTGCGGTTCGGTGCGGCGGACGCGCAACGGCCAGACACCGAGCTCTGAGAAAAGTATGCACAAATGCTACTTGCGGATAAGTTTGCCTAGTAAGTCATGCGTTATGAAAGCATCGCTCTCGCGAGCTCCAATAGCGTGCGGTTGAACCGTTCTGCAACGCCGTTCTGAGACGGCGAGTAGGGCGCGGTGGGCTTAATCTCCGTACCAAGGGACGCTGTCTAGCGCTTTACACACTGATTGATGTATTCCGTACCATTATCAACACGCAAGTGGCTCGGATAACGTCCAGGCCGCGCTTTAACCAGTTCTGCAAAGTCCACCGAGCGTTCATAGACGTCGAATTCCAATTTCATGAAGAAGAGACCACAGAATCGTGTTGCATCGTCGGTACACGAGATGTAGTAACGTAAACCATCTTTAGTTACAGCCCCAGATATGCTCACCATGCGCTTGCCGGCGGTGTCTGAGGGATTCGAGGCTTCAGCGGGAAATGCTCGGTGTGCCTGCTTCGCCTGTATACACGCCTCGCACGATGGCGACAGCAACGTAGAGGCGTCTAAATGAAAGACTCTGACAAGTCCTTTGGTCGCCAGGGTGCGCAAACCAGAAAGAGACAGGTGCCCGTATCCGCGGTGCCACTCTTCCCATGAGTGCGCACCCGGCCGACTTTGCAACATAGTCGCTGCAGCAGGCGACGCACAGATTGCCCAGTAACGCGATAGAGCTGTCCTAGCTGCTCTGCGCGAGCGAGAAAGGTCCCGAAGAATGAACAAGTCCCGCCAGAGAACACGGCGCGCCAGCCGCGTGAATCGAAACGGCTGAGGGATAGCAGCGACTTTGGCGCACTGCGGACGTATAGAGCGTCGCCTAGAGTGTGCCTTATTATTCTGCCGTCGACGTCGCAGTCCAGTGGAACGGTCGCGCGGCCCGAGCGTCGACTGGCACGCCCAAACCCGCCACAGAAGTATTGAGCGGTGCAAAATCGACGAAAGCTGAGCGGTAGTTGCAGATATGCGACGTGGTCCCTCAGTCGGCGATCCAGTCATTGTGCGGGATGGGCTGCGCTATGAGCGCGCGGTGCAGGATGAATCGGGAAGAGAGGCATTTCCGGCTTCGTCCCGGTAGGATACACGGCTGTGGCACCGACCGATAATTGGGATCTAGCACGGGCCTGACATGGGGGAATAGTATTAGGTTGACGTCTTAGTGTCAGCATTCGTGATACATGGAGGAAGACGTGGTCCAGTCGCACTACCTCCTCCCTAAACGTGTCACTCGCAGCTGCAGCGCTAGCTATAGTGCAGCGCTCCTCCCAGAGTCCCAGGCAGTTCAACGTAATGCTGAATCGGCTCAAGCCTCGGGCACATGATAGGATTGCTCGGCCGAAGCGTGCTGCGGCATCACCGAGGCTGATCCCCGAGGCTGATCAGTCTGTCTTTCCATACTCGACATCGTCTGCAACAGCGAGCGACCCACGGACATTTACCACAAGAGCAAGCAGTCCATCATCGTACACATCGTATAGTGTGTGTCCTCTGCATCTCGTAGGGTGGGACGCACTGCCGCCTCAGGCGAGGGCTTATGAGTGTCGTTGGACCACCCCACAGTCACGGTCCTCAGGGCCCACTCGCTCGACAGGGCGCACAGCCGCCTCCGCGGAGGGCTTATGTGTGTCGCTTACTGTGACGCGGTGTGCGCTGGGTATCCTCGACGACGAAATTTTCCGTGACGGTGCGTTTCAACTTTCCGCATTCGTGGATGGTGGTGGTAAGGACGTGCTTCGTAGCAGATTTCTGCGGTAGTCCAGCGATGGAGTCCGCCGGCTCCGTACTTGTCCGACAGAGATTTGAGCTCCCGCACTTATAACTCGGTAAACGAGCAAAAGGCACTGCCCTCTAACGAATTTGAACGACTATGATCATGATCAACATGATCAGTCCTTTGGTTGCCGCTTTCCGCCATTCCCTTCCCCGGATACCAGGCTAAGACTTTTTTCAGCGTGAGGAAATCATTCTCCACTACCACAATGAAGAAAAGGTGACCTGGGAGCCTGTAATTAAGGCAAAAGGGTACTGCCCTCTAGCCGATTTGAACGACTGACCTCGTCATAAATAGGGGTTCTACTAGTGACGCGCTACTACCACTGAGCTAAGAGGGCTGTGAAGAGACGTCCACCCGTACAAGCCTTGAGTAGTTGAGACATACTCCAGTCTGGCCGAACTATGTCGCGCTTCAAACCCCGCTTTTTCTCGTTCATCCTTCGACGCTCGTCACTCAGAAACACTACAGGACCCGCTTGTGGAAACTTGATTAGCAACGCACCGATGAACTAGGCCTATTCGATCAGCCTCACACACCAACTTGGACGTCTGATCCATTCCACAAATGCCGGCTTTCTTGTCCACCACCAGCCACCACCTACTAGTAAAGCTGTCAGCCTAGACGCAGACTGCGCGAGCTTCTGCCCCGCCCGAGCGCCTAGTCCACAGGCAAGGTGAAATACTGCGCTTATGGGTTTCTTCCTTACAGGCAGCGACGAACTGAGGAACTGTACGAGTCCCGCTGGTTGCCCTTTATTGCATCTTCACGCTGGTGTCTGTCGGCGTGACATTCTCCATATCCACGTATATCGGGCAGCTCCGTTCGCTGTGCTCAGGCGCGGCCCTTGGTCGAGTTGTCACGGCATATTGTGGCCGTTCATTCTCACCCCTTTGCATCCACATCTTCTTCCCACTGATACACCTCGTTGGCCACATCTTCTGAGGCGACAGGGCTCTCGACGCGCGAACTCAGTCCGTTTGGCGCCCAGAATGCGGGGTATCAGACTTCTGGCGGCACGCCGAGTTGTGTCGTCAGTGCCGGGTGGCGCCGCACCGCTTGGAGAGATGCCAATCTGAGATGCCTCCTGGCTCCACGGACACGCGACATACCGTATATATCCAGGCGCGCCCGCGCGGGAAGCGCCCTCGCGCAGGAATGCCCACATAACTTCTCTGTCCATCTTTTTTTGTCCTCAACCCATGTCCCAACCCGACGCCGCTCACATCGTGGAATGGCAGGAGGCCGCATACGGTGCGTTCTGATCACACGTACGCGACAACTCCCTTAACGCGCGCAGGTCTCTTCGCGACCAATGTAAGGCAACGCGTTCCGCACAGTTGCGACGACTAACTCGCGCGGTGCAGTGTGTCGGCATTGCTGGCTTCAGCATGCTCATTTGGGACCATATCATTACCTTTGGCGACGAGGTGTGCAACGCGCCGTTTCTGCGTGGGGCTCCGCTCACGCAGTTATAGGTGAACGTGATATGGAAGCGACCGTCCGGCCGAAAGAACGGACAGTGTGCGTGGTAGCTCTCGTATTTCGACGTATTATTCTTGACCTCCCGAAGTGATATACCTCTTCATTATTGTGAGCACCTTCTATGGGTAAAGACCCGAGTTGACTCCCTTTTGCAGCTTCGATATTTTGCACCGTTAGCCTACATCGTACAACTATGTTGTATGTCCTGCGTCCTTCATGCGACATACTGCTCCTCACATCGGCGCAGCCTACTTCCTACCCCCGAATATATGGACGCCCGAGATGTACGTCATGATCTTCTCCTTTAAGTATTTCGCTGACATCGTCCTGCAGATGCGGCCATTATGTTGTATTTGAGGGGTCGGTGATCGTGACGTCTCTCGGCCTCGTCGCGCTAATGATGATGATACGGTATGAAGATGCTAGAACGTGGCGCCAGGACACTGACATTCGCCACAGTGTGTACGCGCTCTACGCAAGAGACAAACGCGTCCTCGCGTTCGTCATAGCGCTTTTCATTCTCCAATTCAGCGTGCAAGGATGGCTTCTCAGCCGAACTCACGGTACGAATACTCCACCTCCGTCGTTCCCACATCTCACGGCAGTTTGGCAGCGGTCCCGCATCCGCAAGGTCTCTTCCACATCGCAGGTGGGTCCCCTCTGCTCAACAGTGCAGCTGTGACTGACAGGACTCCCAGGTTGCTCCATGCTCTTCGATGAATCGCTGTGAGCACACGCTCTAGTTCGCGCCACGCACCGGGTTCACTAGAACGGACTTAGGGGTGGATGGCCCACTGCTTCCGCGTGGCTCCCGGTCGTCTACGACACGGCCATATTTGTACTAACAGTCTACAAGACCGCGCACGTCCTCCGCCGACGCGACCGAAAAGCGCGCCCCACACAAGGAAGCTGGATCTCGAGGACGCTTCTACGCGATGGCGCGTTGTACTACTTGTGTGTTTGTGCCCGCCCCGCTTGACCTGCGGAATATGCTGATGCGGTGGGTGGTCTGCCAGCGCGATCATCGCCTCCAACATCCCGCTTATTATCATGCTCTCGGCCGCACCGGTATGTATCATCTCGCCGACTCTGTGTCCGATGTCCGTTGGAGTTCTGACAGCGCCGCTCTCACAGGATTCCATTCGCAACATTGCCGCACAGTACATCTTCTGCGCCCATCATTTCTGCCGCGCCGTACTAACTATCCTCGGTATACAGATTGGAATGTTTGTACGTCTCGAGCTCCAAGCTACCATTCGCGCCCCTCATGATGTGTTCACCGACACCCCCGTTCAGCGTAACAGTGACGATGATGTCGCGCATCACACTGTCTTTGCGCCGCGAAGACACGGCGTGGCAGGTCGGCACCGTCTTAACGGACCACATGCCCGGCGGTGGAGACATGAAGACAACGATTCATTTCGCCGGAGCCGACAAGAAGAACCGCGACGCCGACGAGGCGTCCATATGGACCTCATCGGAATTCGACTTTGACCCCGGCGAGAGGAGCCGATCATCGTTCGCGTCGAGCTCCACGCTCGTATCCAACTCGTACGCTGAAAACGGCGGGACGTGGCGCCTCGCGCGCCCCGGGATGCCCACGCCGATCGTGGAGAGCCAGGAAGAAGAGGTCGAACTGGATTATTTCCAACGCTCGCCGACGAGCGCCGTTTCTTCGCGCGTTGAGGGCATGTTCAAGCCGTATTCGCAGGAGTCGTTCCGTATTTCTGTGCGTGCCTTTCGTTAGCTTCGTGCCGGTCTTCTAGAGCGCTGATGTAACGGGCTATACAGCTAAACCGCGCGACGGGCGGAAGCAGCGAGTCCCTTGCGTCGACCCCGTGCTCGCCCACGTGGGCCCTGTCGAGTCCGCGACGGCGTTTGCACTAACGATTGTATCCTTGTGTTCAGTAAGCTAATATGTATGACCATGAGCGTGTAGCATAATGTCGGATCTTCCGAATGACGACTTGATCACTGGTGTACACTGTATCGAGTCGCGACCGACGAGCAATGATGGCGTGCAATTTGGGCTTCGGGCATTAGTCCTTACGACATTGTTCCTGCTTTGCACCGTGTGCGGGTCGTTCGGGGATGGGCATCCAATCACGCGATGGAAACACATGCCCTGAAGCTGGTCGACTAGAAGCACAGATTCCAGCAGGGCTTTCTATCGTTGCTACGAATCAAATCAGTCAGTGATAAAGAGACTGGTCCTACTCGGCGTTAACGAGACGAGTGGAAAGTATTTCAACGGCTCCATCGGTGGCTTAAGCAGTTCTCGGGACGCCGTCCTTGGCGTGTGAGCGTCGATGTATCTTGTAGTCGCTGCCCATGCGCTTTACTGGATAAACGCACTCTTACTGAACTAAGAGAATCCCTTGCAGATGATCTGCCCCCCTATCCTTTGTAGGCTATCACCACTTTGCATTTGTGGTGGATTTTCCGCCCTCGGGGATCAGCGTAATCCAATCTCAATGAATTGCAAATGTCCATAATCGGATGCAATTCCTGACTGACGAAGGGCCCGTGCGTCATGAGGTTCCCCAAACCCATGCTCCTCCTACCTGCGAGACATGTGAGGAGTGGAGCTAGCTGTGTGAAGGGGAGCGCTACTCAGCGGTACCGACAAGTCGCGGGGAAGCAGGTCAGCGGTGCCACTGGTACGTGAGATGGTGAACTGTACTATACCCAAACTCACGACCAAACTCCCTCACTGTTATGCGTGTACAGGTACGAGCTTGAGAGAAGACGGGGGAGCTTCGCGGCGCTTCGCTGGCGAACATCATGGCTCGTTCCGAAGCACATGCTCTCTGCTCGTGGTTAATCAGAGATACTCATGGAGCTTGCAACGAGGGTTCACACCATTAAAGCAAGTAACAGTCTGGCGCGTGCTGGACTCTCAAGAAGTTCGCACACGATTATTGCACCCTGCCAGACGACACGGACCGCCCATTGCCTGTCCGAGAGCGGATGCGAAGGGACGTCGGCTTGAGACTAGCAAACAACCATGATTAGCATGACACTGGCCGAGTTGTTGACGCTGCATCGGCAGGGCTTGCGCAACCGGTGTAAGTATCTGCTCCACTCAAAGGTCAATGAGAATACAACATGTTTGGGACTTTGCAAGGGGTCTTCGAAAGGTAGCAAGCCTAGTGGCGTTCGGACCTTAGACGGGCCAATGCGAAATTGAAGCCCATGACCTCCGTCTCGGGATACAGTGCGCGGATAAACCGATCAGAACCGGATCGCCCTGAATTGCCTGGCACACGCGTGAATCGTTGTTGTGAAAGCCCGAAACGGGAATAGTACCCGGACCTCCATCGTCATGACATCTGGACTTGGTCTTACCCCGCTTTGACAACTGGCAGTTTATCACCAAATCCCGCAGTCGACAGTTTCCCGACGTGGGGCCGGATTGCACTGCCGCCCGGGGAACCGCGAGACTACATAAGGGGCAGTCCAGCGCGCGATGCCAAATTAGCCCCCTTCCTCGTATGACCCAGCCATGTCAGCTCCGGCGCAGCTCACGCCTCAAGAGCTCCAGGACAAGGCATACTGTGCGTATCGCGCTCACGTATATATTGGGGCATTCGCGCTAATCATGGAATTGCCGGTAACAGACCTTTTCGTCACGAATGCTATAGGCGTTGTCAGCTTTTCTGTTCTGCTGTACGACCACCTCATCACTTTTGGAGACGAGGTCCGTCTTGTGCGGCGCATGGTCCTCAACTAACGAGTCAACACCAGGTTGCCGTGATCTGGAGCAGAGCTCACGGACGTCGCAATGGACCGCGTACGCCCTCTCTTCTGCCCTCCCGCGCCCTATACTGACGCTTAACCAGTGATATATCTATT